ATTAGTCTCAAAGTGGGTTCCTCGTCATCGAATTTGAACTTAGTCTGACTAATTAAAATAAAATATGCATGAATGATCAGCAAGTCAGATGTTGTAAAGACAGAAACCAGGTTGAAACTTTTGTATCAAGTCTTAACTATTTGAATATTAGAAAAATTGTCTGTGAAAAGTTCCAAAACTACTCTTAAATCCATTCTAAATATTCTCTGTAGTGGACCAATTACAAAATTAGATAATTTGTATCTGGAGGTATCTCTGCTTATGTCATATTTGTAAGATGTACCATACAACTGTCCTATTAAAAACTGTAGATAGCTCTGTTTACTGTTGCAGAAAGTAACACCTAGAGTTGAATTATCATGTGACCTTGATTGGATTTACTATGTTCTGTATTAGAACTTTAGAAGAAAGTATAGAAGAATGAGATATGTAGTATCTGCATACCACCCTTGCATAAAGAAGAGTAACGTTATAAGGAAATGATTAATGTTTTTCCAATTTATATTGTTTATCTGCAGGCTGCTTTACTTATTGGTGAGTCAGGTACTGCTAAAACAGTGATTATCAAGGGGTTTATGAAAAAGTATAACCCAGAAACTCATCTTGTCAAGAGTTTCAACTTCTCCTCTGCATCCACACCTCTTCATTTCCAGGTATATTTCTATTTTATCAGTAATATTTTTTGTTTATATATTTATAGGATGACATTGAGGAGTTATGTGTTAAAAATTAAATACCAGTAGTGTCATAAAAAGTACTTTTATGTGATCTTATAATAAATAAAATATATGAAACAAGGTGCATTTGTGGAGTTGGAAGAGAGGAGTTGAATTAAGAACAGCTTCATATAGATTTTATCAGTTTATTATGTTCATTCCTTGTTAATTGCATAAATGGGGTAGTTTCACATATTCCATTGTACAATTCATTAAAGAATAATTATTTTAAAATAAACTGTAGAAATCAATATGAAGGTTTTGTTTGTAACAATGAAAGATTTGATGAAGCTTTCTAGAATGGACAGCAACTGCTCGTTGTAGAGATACAAGTGTAGAGTCGATGTTTTGAAAGTTTTCTGCCTGAAGACGAAAGGCAGAAGACTTTTGAAATGTCGTCCTTTACATTTGTGTCTCTACAAAGAGCAGTTGCCATCCATTCTACAAAGTTGCATCATGAATACTCTGCCTAAACAATCTATCAAAGAATGAAAGGTTTATTAACCAAGAAGTAGGTTAAATCTTACATGTGAAAGAAAATATTCAAATGAATATGAGAACTCAAATTTATCTTTTGAAGAAGTTTTTGATAATATGGTTTGATGAAATGTTGTGGTATTGTATGACTTGAATCATAAATTGCACATACTTTGGAGGAAATAAAATGGTAGCAACTACAATAAGTGTTCAACTTACATCTCACTTCTTTAGCACATTTCTTTGAATGATCACTAATGATAATACAGATTTTTTTTTAACTGTTCATTCATATTGTTTAATGTACTTAGAATAAACATCCTGACATTCAGATATATATATGTATAGATATATTCAGTAGAAATACTTGGTTTTATTTTACATTTACAGAATGCCATGGCTGTTATATTTTTTGTTCCTTAAGGATTTCCCCCAATGTATATATATTTCATAAAATAAAAATATTCTGTGATTTTTCACATGGCTTTCCAAAGATACATTATTTTTTTTGTGTGAATTTATAACTTACTTTGAATATGTTATTTATACCCATTTAAAAATAGAGCAAAGTAAATGAATGGTACAAATATTAGACTCTTTTTTAATGTTACCCAACCTCAACATAAATAATCTTAAAAGTTGTTTCGTTTTCTTCTATCTATCTTTTTTCAAGGAAATATTGGTGAACTTAAATAAAGTACAACAGTTTTGCTGTTACTTTATATCTGTTTGTTTAGAAAAAAGCAATAAATTAAAAATATATATATTAGATATGCTGTACAATATTACAAGAATTTCAGAGCTATCTAGAAATTAAAACAGTTGTGATTCTACATGATTATAATACTGTGAGAATATTCTTGTTTTGCATATTAACGTAAGTGTTTATATGTTGATTATATTACTAAGATTACTACATATAGTCCGTGTTTTTGTAGACTTCACTGTAAGGAACATTTATTTCACCCTAAATCTAGATAATTGTGTTTCTGATTATTATATGTAAGTACTCTGTAAAATGACTTTAAATGATGTCTTATGTTCTAAGTACTGCATTACTTGATGAAAATTGTTTCACTTTTCTCTTTAGAGGACAATAGAGAGTTTTATAGATAAGAGAATGGGTAGTACTTATGGGCCACCTGCTGGAAAGAAGATGACAATCTTTATTGATGACATAAACATGCCACTCATTAATGAATGGGGTGACCAGGTAATAATGAAACTATCTGAATATGCTTACCTCTATTATAAGACATTTTATTAGAGACGTTATATTTAATAAAGAAAGAATAGTATGATAAAATCTATAACAAAGCAATAACACTGTTGTTGAAATCCATATACATTTTAATAATCAATTTTATTAAAGCTAATTTGTCTATTTGTAGGCTTAATAGATGATGCATACTCTAAATTATAATGCCTTGCAAAAGTATTCACCCCCACCAGTATTGTCACATTTTGATGAAATGCAAATAGTGTAAAGAATTTTTCTAGTGAACTTTATTCAAAACTAATGATCAAACTTAACACTGTTATATGTGATGAAGGTTGAATGTCAGCAAAATCTGCAAAGAAAATATATAAATTGAAATTTGCTGATTGCATAAGTGTTCAGCCCCTAACTCTGTACTTAGTGGAAGCACCTTGGGCAGCAATTACTGCTGTGAGTATTTTTGGATAGGTCTTTACCAGCTTTTCACAATGTCATTTTTGCCCATTCTCTCTGACAAAATTGCTCCAATTCTGACAAGTTGGTTGGGAATTGTTGATGGGCTGCAATCTTCAAGTCTCGCCATAAATTTTCCATTGGATTCAAGTCAGGACTTTGAATGGGCCATTCCAGAACATTCACTTTTTTCTCTTGAAACCACTCCAGTGTAGTTTTGGCCTTTTGCTTCGAGTCATTGTCCTGCCAAAATTTGTATTTTCAACTCAGTTTTAGATTCTTGGGTGACTCAAGCAGGTAGTCCTCTAGGATTTGCCTGTACTTTGCACCATTCATTTTCTCCTCAATCCTGACAAGCTTCCCAGTCCCTGCTGACCAGAAACATCCCCATAACATGATGCTGCCACTACCATGCTTGACAGTTGGGATGGTGTTGACTGGGTAATGTACTGTTTTGGGCTTGCACCAGACATAATGCTTTGAATTTAAACCAAAATATCAGTTTTTGTCTTGTTTGACTACAAAAGCTTCTGCTACATGTCTGCAGTATCATTTATATGCTTTGTCGCAAACTCCATATGAGATTTAAGATGATTCTTTTTCAGTAATGGCTTCTTTCTTGCCACTCACCCACACAGGCCAGCTTTGTGTAGGGACCAGGATACTGTCAATGTATGAAAACTGACTCTCAACTCAGACATAGAACTTTGCAAATCTTTCAAAGTCACTGTTGGCTTCACAGTGGCATCCATAACCAGTTTCCTGCTTGTCTGGCTGTTTAGTTTGGAAAGGCAGCCTGATCTGGGTAGTATGAAGCATATTCCACTTCTTAATGATGGACTTCACCATACTCAAAGGGATAATCAGTGACTTTGAAATTTTCTTGTAACCTTCTCCTGTTCTGTGATTCTCTACCACTTTATCCCTGACTTGTTTGTAAAGCTCCTTGGTCTTCACGGTTGGCTTATTATATTACTATGTGACTTGTGGCTTGAATAGATGCATTTATTCTGAAGTCAAGTAAAAACAACTTTGATTACACACAGAAAGAGACCATTACACTAATTTTGTGACCTTTAAAACTACTAATTTTTTGCAATTGAACTGATTTAGGGTTGTTGTAGCAAAGTGGTTGAATACATAAGCAATTGAGAATATTCTAATTTTCTTTGAAAAATCTAACTTGCTTACATAATATCAGTTTTTTTTAGTTTTCTCTGTTCAGAGTAGATTGTGTAGATTCTAAATGAATAGTCCCATTTGAAAGTTTCATGATTACAAGCTGAGACGGCAAGAAAATGTGGAACTTTGCAGGGATTTTGCAGCTGAATACTTTTGAAAGGCACTGTACATAACAATATAATTAACTATTTTTATTTCTGTTTGTCTCCCTACATGTGTCAATTCACTGCTCAGTATTTTAATTCAATGGAATAATTAAAATGATGCTTTTTGTTTTCTTTGGAAAATGTTTTGTAAAATATTTTGATATGAGTGAGTAAAGTAATCTAATAACAAAAGGAAGTTGTGCAAACTTTTAATTGCAACAAATATTTTCTATAAATTGTTTTTGTAGGTAACCAATGAAATTGTGAGACAAACAATGGAGATGCATGGTTTCTACAACCTAGAGAGGCCTGGAGAATTTATTAACATTATTGATATCCAATTTCTTGCTGCTATGTGTCAACCTGGAGGAGGTCGAAATGACATACCTTCACGCTTAAAACGGCAGTTTGCCATTTTCAACTGCACCCTTCCCTCGAGCGCATCAATTGATAAGATTTTTGGTACCTGTAATAAAGATTTACATTTTGTCACCAATTTACAAAAAAAATAGATTGACAGACATCAGTTTTTTCTATTGTGTTTGGTTGAGATTTGGCATGTAGTAATTTACTAATACCTAATGTAATTATTAATAATTGTTCTTCATTTCTGCTTGTTTTATTTATATATTAAATGATTCTTCATGTTTGACTGTTAACAGAATTGATTATCTTGTATATTCAATACTTAATTTGTAGTCTTCAATAAAACTAAATTTTAAAAATTGTTTCAAGAAAATGCCGTAACATGTTGGGTAAAATGGGTAGTGCAATTATATTTACAAAAGTTATGGTGTGTGCTAAAAACTTTTTCATTAATTTATTTCTTAGTGATAATTTTTTAAAGTATGAATAAGATAAATTAATTATTGTTTATTGTAAAGGGTCATAATTAAAATTGTATTGCAATGTTTTTTTCTCTATGATTATTGTTTACATTACAAAGGCATTAATATAATACAAAGGATCTTATTCTGTAACAGTAGCCTTATTATTGGGGGTAGGAATTTTTTTTTAGATTTTAGGAAAGACACATAGTAAGGTTCTTTTTCGTCATTTTATTGTTTTAAGGTGTATATCATATACACTACATCATATGATTAGGTGTCACGTTTTGAAGAGTAATATGTTTTGAAAAGTAAGACATTTTTTTTATCACTGCAAATTAGCTAAAAAATTGACAAGCCGTTCTGATGAAACATTTAATCTCTATAGATTACATAACTTGTCATGCATCAAAGTGTTTGAGAAAAATATCAAACAATGTTTTTAGGTGTGATTGGATGTGGTCATTTCTGTGCTAACAGAGGGTTTTCTGAATCTGTACGCTGTTTTGTAACCAAGTTAGTACCATTGACAAGAATTTTGTGGCAGCTTACAAAGGTAAGTGCTGTTGGAAATTTTGTTTTATGAATCAAAAAATAATATTCTGATAAGATACCCTCCCTCCTCTCACAAGATTAGCTTTTCTCATTTTGTGCTGCCCTCTATGGGCGAACGTTTTTCAGAAACACATGTCACAGGCCTTCATCTTACCTCTGTTGGAATCCAACGTTCCAACACATCTCTCTTGCAAATCATCATGTGTCACCTGTCCACCAGTAGGAGAACACTACTATGACACATGTGATTCCTTCTACACACTTCTATCAAACTACTACTTCTCATTTGGCAGCTGTCAAGTTCAGACTTTCTTTTTACAATATTTAGTTACCTTGAAGTGTTTTTTTTTATATTTTTCTTAACTTTATTTCCATCACTTCACAGTTGTGGAGTTATTTTAATAAAGCATTACTTCCTCATGTTTTTCGCTTATGAATTCCGAAGTTACAGTCACCACTTCGGGTACTTCGTCAGCATCTGATGCCATATTTTCAGCCATGGGCACGCCCGACCTATCAGGGGGTTATATCATCCGTTATTCCCCAAGAGATTGAGCGGTATATGAGCCTACCTCTCTCGACTACTTCTCCTTATTTTGGTTGTTTGTTTCCCCACCCGGAGTTTGCTGCACCTTCCCGTTCAATACCTGATGATTCAGCTTGCCTGTCATTGGTCTTTTCAGACTTTATCTGTCAAGTATGTGATGTTTTGTCTCTTACACCTGTTTCCTATGGCACTAGAACTTCCCTCTTATATGTGACTTCCCGATCCTATTTCGTCTTTCCCCTGTCCCCCAATAATAGGGTTAATGCGGAACAATTTACCTCTCAACTGGGGGAGGACATTAGTATGCCTTCTTATGCTTTCTTATCATCAGATGGACTTTCTTTTTCTCGACCAACAGTTGTTGGGGTCGATTCTACCTGTTTGGGGGGCAAAAGAGGCTCTTCACAGAATCCCTGAGGGGGTTTTCTGCTGACATTGTCTTCATCTTTACTTGTACATTAGCTCGTCTGTAGTTTTTGGCGTCGCACTTCTTGGGACTTCTTGGGCGGATCCATCTCCAGGCTCCTTATCTGACGAACCTCTACTTGGCGTCGTTTTTACAGCGTTATGTGTTTGACTCAGTTCCTGAGTATTTGGAGTCACGGGTGGCCTCATCCGATCGACATTCTACCCTTACTCACTTGGTATAACTCATTTGTCACAGTCCAGGCTGATATCTGGGTTCGCAAGGTACTCTTGAAGGAATTCGTAATCCCCTTTCTCTACCGTCCACCATTATCCAGTGTTCCCAATCCCTTCTCTTCTCCTCTGGATTCCTCGACACACCAGCATCTGTCAGAGGTGGTTCAGGACCTCATTGCACAACAGTCTTTTAAACCAGCTAACCAGGTTCACAAGGGTTTTTACTCCCACCTGTTTGTGGTTCCCAAGAAGACCGGGGACTGGCATCCTGTCATTGACTTATCTAATCTCAATCAGTGTGTTCACACTCCTCACTTTACCATGGAGAAATACCTTTCGGTGAGCATTTTCTCCAAGTCTTTGTATGACCAAGGTGGACATTTCCAATGCTTACCTGCACATTCCTGTGATGGAGCATTCCCATCAATATCCTTGCTTTGTCCATTGGGGGGTTTGTACCAGTTTTGCACCTTACCTTTTAGCCTAGCCTTAGCACCATACTTGTTTTGTCATGTGGTTCACTCCTTTGCTCAACATATTCATGCCATGGGGTTGTGCTTCCATGTTTATTTGAATGACTGGCTTCTTCTTGCTCATTTCAAATGGGAATCAGCCTGTCACACTCGTCGGCTCCTGGCCGAGGCTGCGTGGGTGGGATGGTTGGTCTAATTGGAGAAGTCTTTCCTTTGTCCTACCCAATACCTTATCCATTTGGGTGTTTTCTTCAACACCCATATCAGTCAGGCCCAACCTTCTCCTCTCTGGCTTCATTTTATGGACGAGCCATTCGGAAATTCCAGTCTGTTACTATACTTACAGCTCACGATGTTCTATTGATTTTCAGGATGTGATCCTCCATGACCCCTCTCATACCCCTGGGTATGGCCCATATGTGGTTTCTTCAATGGGTTCGTCATGATCAATAGATCCTTGCCCGGGATCCCTTGGATACTTCTATATCCCTTCCTTCATTCCTTGTAGACAATCTCCATTGGTAGTTGAACAGAGCCCACACATCGGCAGAGGTCCCACCTCCTCCTCTATGGCCAGATTTACATCTGTTGACAGATTCATCCCTTCAGGGCTGAGTTGCCTGGGTGGATCACCAGGAGGTTTCGGGTCATTGGTCTGTGGATGAGAGTTCTCTTCTCAAACTCCTGGCTGTTCATCATGCTTTTGATCAATTTCTTTCTCTTGCCAGCTTCTGGCTGGTTATAATCCATTCCAACAATTACCAAGGTGGAACCAGATCCAGATCCCTAGGTTTTTACACTATAGATCATTTTTTTGGGAGTACCACAAAAATCACATTAGTTTGCTGCTGTTTCATGTACTGGGTGCTTTCAATCTCATAGCCGATTGTCTTCCCCTACCAGATCTTGTTTATCTCACAGAGTGGTCCTTTCATTCTGCCATTTTTGCTCAGTCTGCATCTGGGTATTGGTTCCTTTTGCCACTGCTCTCATTCACAAATAACCATGGTTTTGGTCCCCGGACCCCCATCCTCGAGTCTTGGCTGTTGATTCCTCCAGCCAGAATGGTCTCTTCTGTTCCTTTATATTTACCCTCCCATCCATTTACTTCATCGGATGGTCTCCCTTATCCATGCCGCTCCATGCATGGTCCTTCTGATTGCTCCCTACTGGCCTGCTGAACTTTACCTTCTCCATCAACTCTAGTTACTGGCATTCCATCCTGCACTGTCCATCCTCCATCTTCATGCCTGGCTTTTGTCAAGTCCTTGGCAAGGAGTTACAGTTTCTTTTGCAGGCCAGCTTCACATTTGCCCTTCTTATTTGACCGTCTATCAATGCAAATAGAAAATTTATTGCTCCTGGGCATTGACTCTGGGTTTCCAGGCTTCTCACCCAACAGTTGCCTGTATCTCCAAGTTTCTCATATGGCTCTTTGAGAGGGGTTCTTTGGTCTCCTCGATTTTGGGGTTTCAGGAGGCGTTATCCCATACATTCTTTTTTTCCCACTTCCACAGGGTCTTTTCTTCCCCTGTATTTTCCACGTTGGTCCGTTCCTTCTGGCTCCATTGGCAACCGAGTTGTGAGTCGCTCCCGAACTGGAACATTAACGTGGTCTTTCATGCCCTCACTTTATCTCCATGGTAAAAACCTCTGTCTACGTTTTCTTTGTTTCACCTTTCTTTGAAGACGTATTTCCTCCTGATTCTGCTTCCTTGAGGTATTGCCTGCTGCTTGTGGCTATTCTATAGACTTGGGCGTACCTGTGACATGAGGTCCCTCATCCATTTCAATGTGGGATTCAAGCTAATCTGGTGAGCGGAGAGAGAGAATTTTATCGGAAGTTTTAATTTCCCTAAATGAAAATGTATTTCCGATAGGTACTTTCCTCCACTCACACTTCCCACCCGTCCTCCCCAAAATTATCTGGTGCTTGCATCTTCTGCCAAACTTCGAAGTGATAGTTTAGTAGTGGCATGTAGAGGGAGTCACATTCGTCATATGAAAATAGTGCTCTCCTATTGGTGGAGAGATGACACATGATGACTTGCATGAGAGACGTGTTGGAACTATGGATTCTAACAGAGGGAGGATGAAGGCTTGTGGCATGCATTACTGAAGAAAGTTTGCATATAGAGGGCAGCACAAAATGAGAAAAGCTAATCTTGTAGGCGGAGGGGAAATACATTTTCATTAAAGAAAATTATAACATCAGTTTAAAAGTTTTTAATCATAAAACATTTAGAGCACATAACTTTCTCAATATTTTATGTATTTAGTAATTGGTATTTGTAATTTAATGATATTATTTTGAAATATTTTTACCATTTTGAACGTAAGCAAGTTTATACAATACTCTTCAAAGAATGTGTAAAAACTGAATATCATTTTGTTATTTCATTTGCTAAAAAGGATTAGTTTTAAATGACTTGTTAAAGCTAACACCTATATGGTGTTTCTTTACAACACAGTGAAAAGTAAATAGATGCAAGCCCTCTCTAAACGTTTGTGGATAATTTTACTTTTACCTTATAATGAATTATTATTTCATTTTTAGGCATGTATATTTCAAGTTCCAAGTTTTACATTATATTTCGAAATATAATTGAATATACCTTTTCTGTAATTTAATATATTAATTAACTTCATACTTTTGTTGTTTTTTAGGCAAGCTTACTCCCAACACCAGCAAAGTTTCACTACATTTTCAATCTGAGAGATCTATCTCGTATTTGGCAGGGAATAATTTGTACTCAGTCTTCTGTAATAAATTCTTCCAATGTTCTCTTAAGTTTGTGGAAGCATGAGTGTTGTAGAGTAATAGCTGATAGGTAAGTGGCAGTAGATTTTTATTTTCAGAAATTTAGTGTTTATGTAATGATATTTTGTTTATGGCATTAAAAGAGATGTATTTGGTGGATTGATTGATTATTGTAGTATCATACTGGAAAGTACAAATTCTCATCTCTCAACAATTATTTTTTATAAAAGAATATTAATTTAATATATGTTAAGATGTCTATATTAAATGAGATTTAAGCTTCAATTAACTAAATATTCAGGAGTATGAACAGAAGTAAAATGGTAATATTTTAAAACATAAAATAACTAGTGTGTAATCTTAAAAATAGAAAAATATGTTGTGGTCTATTACTTTTATAATTTTTGATCCTTATTGAACTTGAATGAAGAGCTGAAAATATAGACATAAATTATGTTTAAGTAGAAATATACTTGAACAGATTCACATCACTGAAAGATTACACTTGGTTTGAAGAAGCAATGAAACAAGCAGTTTCAGAGCATCTTGGAGAACAATATCTACAAATAATTCAACAAACGAAGTATTTTGTTGACTTTCTGAGGTCAGTTCATAATTATTAAAGTACATTATAATGATATTTATTAAATTTATCTTAGTTTTTATTGTAATGAAGTTTCTATCTTACGCTTCTGGTGAATCAGAAGGTAGTGACACTAATCAACAACTAGATATATTCATGACTTATGACATAACCAGATATGCTTTAAATATAATGCAGATGAATGACATCATTGGTTCCTGCTGAGAAACATTAACTGAAGAGTTAGAACATTACTGTAAATATAGTGAAAGAGTGAAGTTTCTAATCAACTAAGAAAATTGTATAAATGTTTCTTTATATTGTTGTTCGGATAAACTTGGTATATAAGTTAAGAAAATGTAAGTATTCTACCATCTAAAGGTAACAGTATATATTTTATGTGTGTGTATAAGTTACCATTGTTCAACCATATTTGAACCAATGGATAAAATATAAGTTAACATCTTTAATATTTCTTAAATAACACAACATGTATAGTGATGAAAATTGTATGGTATAAGTTTTTGGTGAAGATTAATAAAAGAAAAACACAGCTTTTGCACAACCATGCAAAATCCTGGATTAAATACTGTTATTATTGTAATGATAAATGTTGAAAAGTTTAGTTTACTGAAGTGAGCAGTATTTATATTACTGTCATTGGGGTTTTATATTGATTATACCTTGAAGATGATTAGTTATTCTGTAATATTACTTAAATAGGAGTTATAAAAAAACTCTAATAATGACAGTGTCATAGCTGAGCAATATGATTCTGTTTGAAGTAATTTTATTGATTTATAGGGATGCTCCTGAACCAGCAACAGAAGGAGCTGAAGTAGAGACAGAAACACCTAAAGTTTATGAACCGGTAAGTCTTATTTTGTTAAAAAAACAAAGATCACCATTGTGATGGATGTTAGAAAATACAGATGTTAAAAATTTTCTAAATATTCAAACAAAGATTTTTCATTAGTTGCTAAAGAATTTATTCATTAACATTATTATTTTGCATTTTTTAGCTTGATATATGGATTTAGGCTAACCAAAAAATCCTAAGCTTTATGTACCTCTTGAAGTATTATTGTGACTACAGACAAAACTATTGCTAACAGTGAGGTTATCAGTCTTAATCTGTGTAGGAAGCTTGCTTTGGTCAGAAGTTAATGATAATAATCTTGTTCAATTTGTCAAGTCTTTATTCATGAAAACATTGCCTCTAATGAAAATTGGATTAATACAACACATATAGGCTTCACTTTTTTGCCATGCTGAGCTTATACAAGGTTCAATCAGTTTAGAATTTTCAGATATGTAAGGAATACTTATAATAAAGTTTGGTATATGTTTAACCATGTTTTTAGCTAAGAAATATGTAGTTGAAAATAATACCAAATTTTATCTGTAATATTGATTAATATTCTTTCATAATTAAACAGTAAGGTTATTGTAATATTTGTGTATTTTTGGATATTCTTTACTTCCCATTGTTTTCATATAAAATAAATCTTGTCTTAAAAATATTAGTCCCCTGGTGGGATAGAGGTAAGTTTATAGACATACAACACTAAATCCAGGGTTCGATTCCCCATGATGGACAGAGCTGATACAACACTGTAGCTTTGCTCTAAAATAACCACCCAACCTTAAAAATATTAAATAAATTTCTATTTATTCTAGAATTATAAGTAAATTATCATGTTTCACACTATAAATTATTAAAAAGCTTTATTTTTTGTAATTTTTACTTTGGTTATGATGTTTTTTTTATTAGGTTCAGTCCTTAACTCTGTTAGAAGAGCGTCTAAAAACACTGCTTGGTCTATACAATGAACTGATTCGTGGTGTAGGATTAGATCTTGTATTTTTTGAAGATGCAATGACTTATTTAATTAAAGTAAGTTCTTTATAAATATTTTATTTCATTACTTGATAAATTTTAAATTATTTTCAAATAATATCTGATTGACCAGGATAATACATTTCAAATGTTTATATATCAGTTGAATTCACACTTTGACATTACTAGGTTTGCAGTATAGTCCCATATTTGTGAGTCACATTCTAATATGTTTAATAGAAACTCCATGTAGTTTTAATGTCTCATAGCATAGACAAAAGTGAAAATATTTAAGTATTCATGTAAACAATAGTGTTAAAAAATAATCATCTACATGTTGACATAATATTTAGTTGAAGAACAGCTTAACATGGTTTTACTGTATGCAAAGTGTCATGAGAATACCCGATCTACTACCAGATTGTATGCTGAATGGTTCCTAAATGAACATCACCATTTACATCAAATTATAAGAAATTTTTAATACTTTAGGATGTATACCTCATCTGCATGTATGCCTATAACGGTTGTTGTTGTAATATTATTTTGGTAATTTATAGTTTCAAATGCTTCATTGCTAATGCCTGCATTATTTTTAAGTTATACTTTTAGTGTATGAAACATATTCATAAAAGTTTCAAAGGATATGACATTGAATTACCTCAGTGGTGTTGTCACAAGGTAGGCCCTCAACACTTAATTCCATACCACAAACAATTTTCTTCCTATGTCCCTCTCCATTTCTAAATTATTTGCCATCCAGTGGTCTTCTGAATCACTGTTATAAAAACTGAGCATTGATTTTGGCTTCTAAAAATAATTGGCACATCTAAAGAAATGCTTGGTTAGTTGATGTTTGTATTCATTGTTAAATCTACACTGTAATATAAAGAAACCAACTCCTCTAGTAATATGGAACATATTATGGTGATTAGAGAGAATTCAAAGGACCTAAATGTGCTTTTAGGTAAAGGACACCTTGGTGTAAAACCTTTAATTCACAAGTTTTTTGTACTCTTTCATATTGAAAAACAGCTTGAGGCTATCTAGCTTGCCATGGTGTGTATTACAAACTATATTACTGTAAGATAAGCAAAATCTTAGTATTAAATCTAGGTAAAAACTAGGTGTCCTCAAAAATTATTTCAGTATGAAACAGTAGAAAGGTGTGTGTTTAAATTTGCATCAAGCCAATCCCCACATGTAGACACACACACACACACAAAGGCCAGTTGTTTATTACATACTATTATAATCCAAGACTGGATGTTAGGAGATGAAGCTTTAAACTGTGCATATCAGCTAAATATAGTGTAATACTTGTTATTCAGTGTGAGTAAATATGTCTTGTAGTTCAGATTATACTATTAAAAAATTATCAAAACCAGACTGTTAAATCTAAGTGTAACTGTAGATAGTTTCAGAGCACTCTTTCAGTATAAAAATCTAAAAAAAAAATAAAATATAGAAAAACTAGGCTTGTACGAGAATATTGATTTCAGATTTCAAGAATCATTAGAATGCCTGGAGGGAATGCTTTGTTAGTTGGTGTTGGTGGTTCAGGAAAGCAGTCTTTAACCAAACTTGCTTCTTTTATTGCTGGCTATAAAACATTTCAAATAACCCTCACCAGGTGAGTAATTCAAAACTTTATAAATACTTATAGTACAACCTTGTTTGACATTCTTTGTGTGGATAAAGCTCTATTTAGGGAAACTTTTTTTTTGTAGAGATATCTTAAAAATAATTTACCTTGGCAACCTTGATTATAAAATTATATACAAATATGATTTTGTATATATTTAGTTTTAGTGCTCTAGTTAAACAGGAACTTTTGTCAAGATAGAATTATACAAGTTGTTTTGTAAAATTAATTGATAATATACCAATGAATTTTAACTTTGATTAATTTTTGAAGAAAATAGATGAAATCTATCTCAAACACATTTTTTGTAAAAAAAAGGATTATTTTTTTTTATCAAAGTATGAATTTTTGTGTAATTGGTTAATTAACATTATTTATAATATTACAGCAAGTTCACGTTTACAATATTATTTTGTGATTTAAAGGTGTATTATTACGCATCAGAATAGATTAGAATTACATTTTTTATGGCATTTAATGTAATAGGTCTTATAATGCCTCCAACCTACTGGAAGATTTAAAAGTTCTGTATCGCACCACTGGTGTTCAAGACAAAGGAACAACTTTTATCTTCACAGACCAGGATATTAAAGAGGAAGGATTTTTGGAATATCTTAATAATGTTTTATCTTCTGGTGTGGTGAGTTTTACAAACATCTTCAACAGATTTTTTGAACGATGAGTTATTCCTATATCTTTGTCTGTTATTGTATTCATGATTTCTAATGATAATTTAAATGTGATACTTGCCTTTAGTTACAGTTTGTGCATTTTGACATTTACTGTTGATATACTTAAATATTCATACAGATCAGAGTGTTTAATTGCATTGACAGTTTGTAGTAGTTGGTTCTATAACATCAGATTTAATGTTTAAGTAAACTTTTATGTTCATCAGTTGTTACAATTTTTTGTGTTCATATGATAAAATTAAATGTAAATATTAAAATATTGAAAGAGGGATGTACTATTTTTGACTCTTTTCATTTTAAATCCAAAATAAGAATTTTATTTATTTCATAAATTAGAATTATATCCCTCATCATAACAATCAGTTATTCTTCTTATAGTGTTGCTTTAAAATAAAAATATCTTAGGTTTCAAACCTCTTCACTCGAGATGAACAACTGGAAATTATTCAAGAGTTAATGCCAGTTATGAAACGAGAGTTTCCACGTCGACCTCCTACGCCTGAGAATGTAATGGAATTCTTTCTTTCAAGGACAAGACGAAATCTTCATGTTGTAATGTGTTTTTCTCCAGTACGTGAAAACTTCTATTCTTTATTATACATTTAAGCAGGAATATGTTTGCATTTTAACACATCGCCTACTTTAATTCTGATTGTGCTTAAAAGTCAGATCATAGACAAATTTTAGCTGTAATTTTTATGAATGCAAATCTCATAAACACGGTCTTTGATTATGTAAATGTTCTTTTCTGTGTTAGTTAATGTAAATAAAACAGACATAACATAGGAAAATTGGAGCTTCACATAGATACAAAACAAGAGATTGTACATGGCAGGGAGAGAGAAAGTATAATACTTTATTAATGTAGACTTAAGACCTCTATAGCTAAGTAAATTATAACAAAAGCTGTTTCAGTATGCCTAAATATAGAAATTCCAGCAATGACTGCAGAATGAACACTAAAAGGGTTTAATGCTATCCTGGTATTTTGATTTCTGTCTTTTGGAGTAAATCTGGTTTAATAATAAGGGTGAATGACATTGCAGGTCTGACAGTTAACTTATTATTTAATCGTTATATTTTATCTTTCTAGTGTTAACATCTTTAAACATGGATAAATAGACAGTAAATAGAAATAATATGAAATGAACCTATATCGTTGTTTTTCTGATTTAATACATTATGAAGAGGAAGTAAAAAGGTTTATCGCAAGAAAGAATGTGACCATTGAAAATATTGAAAATAACTGAAATGTATTAATTTAGATTACTGAATGCTAAAATTGCATTTTATGTCTCAGCACTTGAAAAAATGTGTTGTAGCAAAAATAACTTTCCAATTTCTCTGATCATGAACCTTTTTATGGAAATGACATATAATATATTGTTAAAATAAATGTTAAAGCTCACCTAGTCAATTTAAATCTCAGGAGACCATGCAGCTATTAATGTTTATTCAAATCAGATAGACTTATCTCTGAAATACTAAAAGCCTTTTCTTGTTGAGTCTTTTCCTTGCTGAGTTTCAGTTCTGTCAACTTTCACATGATTTTAGATTCTGAATGTTCTTGACATAATGCAGAACATGGATCAACTTAACCAGAGCTCTCCACACTCCCACCTTCCATGTGATGTAATATGTTTCCATCAGAGTAAAGTACATAAGGCCTGCTATCTTGCCATAATCAATATTTTTTGTTGACAATTGTACTATTAACTTTGCTCTCTATAAATTCTGATGTCAGTGTTGACCACTGTGCAAATGTTTCTACCAATATTAGAAATTCTACAACTTCTTTGAAGATCTTACTCATACAGTCTGCCATTAGCATGCAGGGAGATCTTGTGACTTCATTGTTGGCACATATTGATCAATGTAATCAGGTCATTAATTACAGATTCATTACTAGTGTCCCTAGTGGGTTTCATGTTCATATAAACACTCAATTGCTGATCAACCACCCTTTTCTCATGATTATAGTAATGTCTATTACTTACGATAGTCACCTTGTATTGGTCTGATTTCTCCTTCTTTCCAGGTATGTCATAATTCTTGAACTAATTTCTGTTATTTTGTTACACCTGAGGATGCTAATGCTATATGATTTATTTTCTTGTAATTTTGTATTTCCCTCCTAATCCTGATTATTTTTGGATTTTTTGCTGATTCTTTTAGAAATCACCTAAACGTTAATAACCTTTTTACTTTTCAAGTTCTTGATTCACAGATCTTTTGTTATAGGAGGGTGGTATTCTACTTTAATCCATCATTAATTTTGTGACCTGGATGCTATGATTTGTCAGGGTCAAATTTTACCTTGTATTATTCCTTACTTTTGGCTCTTAATGATGTTGTTTCTATTACCACGTGACTCTTATGTTTTTTTTGACACCCTAGCCCATTTTGCTGTATTACAGGGTCTCTCTCCAGTTTTTCTGCTGACCTCAAAAGAGCTTCTTCTCCATATCTTTTGTGTTTGCAAAAATTTTCACCTATGCTAGTTTCTTGTTCAAGTAGCATGCCAGCAAGAGTTGATTAGAGTTTTAGCATTTTGACTTCTGGTAGTTGCTCCTTTTTGAAATGGCCAACAAGTAATCTTTGTTCTCCTACCTTGCCTCTCTCATCTACTTCTGAGTCAAAATCTGCTACTCATACTCATTTATTTCAACTGTAGTGAGTGGACAGATGTAGAAGTAAGCAAGCTGGGTCTTTCTTCTATTCTGGATGACACTCCTATTTAGACTGTTGGGGGTTGTGTCAGATCCTTCGTTCTAGTGTGAATGTTATTTTATCTTCTTTCTGATCCAGGCACTTACAAATTTTGGGTCAGAAAGTCTTAGACATGAGTTTGTAATGAAAGTTTTTTATTGTGGTAATTGGATGATGATGATGGATATACTGGATACCTATCTTTGTATCATTATTTGTCTACCATCCCATCATTTTGTTTTGCCTTTGACAGGTAAATTATTCAGTTCATTTCTCTTTCTTTCCAGCTTGGCTTCAGGTCAAATGTTTTCTGTCAAATAATCTACTTTTACTGGTCTTCTCCATTCACTTGATATCAACTGTTACTTTTACATAGACATGTGGCTAATTCTAACCTTTTCACCCACTGAGTCTCTCCCACACAGTTTAACACCCAGCTAGTTACATTGCATGGGTAGATCACCCACACAACTTCCATGTACATACTGTTATGTCTGCTACAACTACCATCAATGACATCCTTTTTGCTTTGGGATGAGGGCTTCATTTTTGAGAGTCATTTCCTTGATATATACAAGTGCAACACTTCCATTGAACCTTGTTTCTCTGTAGCATTTAACTTCAGACCCATTTCTATGCAGTATGCTTATTTCTTCCATCACTTTAGAGTTTTTCCAGTTTTGGTTGAACTTTGAATTCCGATATGGTACTTATCTCAACTCTCAAGATTAGCTATTCTTGTTTATTGCTGCCCTCTATATGCAAACATTTTCTTTACACATGCCACAGGCCTTGCTGGAATTAGTACATTCCTATGTGTCTCACATGCAAATCATCATGCGTCATTTATTAACCAGTATTGAATAGTATGCTCACATGGCACGTGTGACTCCCCTACCGAATATTCAGTTCCCGTATGGCACATTTTTTTGTTATACATTACCACATGTCTCCCAGTTTCTTATTGTCGCTTTTCTGCACTAAACAATTTTGTGTAGTTTCGTGAGTTATGAATTCAGAAGTCAACATTACCGCTTTGGGGGTCACACCAATGACCAATCTTCTGTCTCAGGCCTTAGATGTGGGCGATCTGATTGTGAATCTTTCTGATTTTGTTTGGGAGATTGAATGCTACTTGGGTCACCCTTTGTCCCCTTATGTCATTGGAGCTCCTTCAGACTCTGCTGACATTATTCAGCATGATGATGATTTTGATCGTCTTTTTTTCTTCCTCTCGAGTTTGCTGTTCCTTCCCAGTTCCAGCCTAATGATTCACCTAGGCCTTCCTTGTCTTTCATGGATTTTGTATCTCACATTTGTGATGTTTTGTCTCTTTCCCCTATTTCTTATTCCCCTCATCCTTCTTTGTTTCATGAGCATTCTTCTCAACCATTTTTGGTATTTCCTCCTTCTCTTGATATTTGGGTCCATGCAGATTACCTTCTCTCCCAGTTAGGTAAAGGGATCAGTATGCCATGGCCCCCGAGAGCCTCTGATCAGGACATCATTGCTTACCATTGGAGTGAATATCTGTTTATGGATAACCAGTTGTTGGGTTTTTTATTACCTCTTTGGGAGCAACTCCCGAATCTAATGTTAGTCTCACACATGCCCAATATTCTCGTCTTCATCTTACCTTTACTACCCTTCTCCGGTATCTGTCTTCTATACATCTCCTCTTGAAGGCTCTCCACAGAAATCCCGACGGATTTTCTGCTGATACCCTTCACCTATTCTCTTCCATTTTGACCCATATTTCTTCCTCGGCTCTGTCATTACATATTTGGTTTCTTTGTTGTTGGGACCTTATTGGTAGGGACTCCATTCTGGCTTGTGTTAGTTTACCCTCCACTTATCTCAGGGATTTGCGTCTTGCTCCTTTTCTTCAACATTATGTCTTTGACACCGTCCCTCACAATATCGAGCTGCAGGTAACATCTGCCCGACAACAGTCCACCCTTTCAACTTTTGTGGCCCATTTGTTTCGACCAGAGCCTTCCATACCATCTATTCCCATTTCCCATTCTTTGTCCTCCTATCCTTTACCTGTTCCTTCAAATCTGGGTACTTCTTTTTTGTTGACGTCATTGCCAATGTATCGTCTGTTGTCAACTGTACTGGTGACTACCTGGTGGTTTCAGGGCCTGTTAGAGCTAGCTTGCTGGATTTTCTTCCACACTGGCTCTTTCAGAGGGGCTCATTCTCATGTTTCTTTCCCAACTTTGTGTTTCTCTTCACCCCATTTCCTTTCCTCCTCCTCCTCAAGATCCTGTGACTCGCCAGTGTCTGTCAGAGGCTGTTCAGGATTTAATTTTGCAGCAGGCTATCAAACCAGTTTACCATCCCTTCGAGGGATTTTATTCCTGTTTTTTTTTTGTGGTCCCCAAGAAAACCAGGGATAGGCAACTGGTCATCAATTTTTCATGCCTCAACCATTTCATTGCACTCCCCAAGTTCAATATGGAGTCCTTTCTTACCCTGAGATTGGCACTTTTCCCAGGATCATGGATGACAAAAATGGATGTTTCCAATTCTTATCTCCACATCCCGATATCCCTTTAATTCCATCTTTATCTTTGGTTTGTTCATCTTGGTGTGATTTACAAATTTCTGGCTCTCCCATTTGGACTTGCCTTGGCTCCATACGTATTTTGTTGCATCATTCAGGCCTTTGCTCGTCATATTCATACTTTGTGGTTATCGCTACTTCTAGTTCATTCTGAGCAGATCACCAATCATACTCACCAACTCCTTCCTGTGGCAGCTCGAATGGACTGGTTGATAAAATTGGAGAAGTCAATCCTTTGACCCACCCAATACTTAGTGCAATTGGAGGTCTTCTTCAACACCAACATCAGTCA